TATGGATTCAGAATCTGTATGTTAGCAAAGTCTCTAGGTGCTTTATATGCAATTTATTTATATTTGATTTAAAAACACTGTTTCTGTCTATTAATCTCCTGCTTTAGTATACTGCATGTAAGAATCACCTGAAGGCATTGTTATAATGAAGATTCCTGGGCTGCACTCCAAAAGTTAGTAAGTCAAGTATTTGGATACCACCGGCTTCGATAACCAGAACCTCCAGTTGACCACACTTTTGATCTTAGGCCATGAAAACTAAAATCTCATTAATTCACCCTGCTCTGTTTCTTCTCAATCCATCCCTTCCCTATTTTCTTTCTATACTTTTAAATGTAACTCAATCTAGCATATCACAACTTGTATTTGTTGGTTATCAGCTTATAATTATCTCCTGATTAATCTCCCTATAACTACTCTTAACCCTGGAACTCTTTTAGATAAGTCTCTGTTAAACTTAAAACTTATCAAAAATATAGGAGCCAAAGAAAAAGTGGTAACTAATTTCTTAGAGAAGAGTAATGGAACACTTTAATTGTTCTAGCCTCCCTTCTGCTATGGCTATTGAATCGAGGTAAAAGTTAAAAGGTCAATTCAGAGTTAAGCAAGTAGGGGAGATAGAAGCAAAGAGAAATAAGAGAATGGTGATTAACACACCCTTGAGTCTATGACAAAAAGTGTAAATATATGCACAGAGGTAATGTGGTTTCAGAAGAAAGACCACTGGACTTGGAGTCATGGGATGTAAACTCAAATTCTTTGTCCAATCCTGACAACCACCATGGCTATTAGTATATATTCACCTCTTTTGACTTCAAGTTCTTGTTTATAAAATGCAAATATATATATATATACTACCTTTCTCACAAGGCATTTGATGAAACAAAATTCTAAATAAAATATTAACTGCATAAACATTTGCTGAACAAATTAAGCTGGTGCTATAGAGAAGAAGGAATGAATAAACCATAGTCCTACTTTCAGGGAGCTCACTGTCTAGTAATGGATACAAATACACAGACAACAATTAATGTTGCATTTAAAGTACTTGTAAAATGCTAAGAGAACCCTAAAGAATGAACCAATTATTTAAAAGGAGGAAGGGATACTCATGACAAATTGGCAAGTTAGCTTTTAGGTATCACGTTTATATTCTCTGTACAATTTTCATATGAGGGTTAATCCAGCTGGAATGATGATGATAAACAATGTTTATAATTAGTACCACAAAGATTGTTATGGTATTTAGTTTTTTTAAAAAATGTGTCCTAATAAGCAGGAAGTGCTACAATCTGACAAGAGAAGAATAAGACAAAATCAGAGTGCCTAGGAGGTATTATCCCATTCCATAGCACTCAGAGATGTGTATATTATTAAATATTTAGTTTAGCATTCACTCTAGCTTTATTCCAAAGTAAGAAAATACTAAGCTGTTCATTAGAATATAAATTCTCATTATAAGCAAAGGGAATATCTATATTGTTCACTGCTAAATGTTACCTGATAGATCAATGGAGCTGAATAGCATTTGTCAAGTGACTGAATGAAGTATTAAGTAAGGTCTGCATGGAGCTAATAATTGGCTAGTTACATATGCATACATGTTGCTGTCTATGTGAACAGCATATTTGAAGCCAATAAATGGCATTCTAAGTTTAAAATATGGAATGACTTTTACAAATTGTGAACATTTCCAAATATAATTTGTACCTAAAACAATGACTCTTCATGTAGCTATTATTTAAAAGTAAAGGCAGCCGGAACTTTAGGCTCCCTTGCTAAAGGTATTTAGTTAGCCATTGTGTATTTAATTGCCTTAATGTACATCTCCTTCAATTTTTTTTTTCCAGAAGTACTGGTAATACATCGAGTTAAGTAACATTTCAAAGATGGATTTCTGTGACTTTTCAGCTTAACACATTCTCTAAGTAATCATTTTTTCTTTTAATATATTGCATTATATAACTTCCAGAGACATCTCTTGTCTACAGAACGAAGGTGTTGGACAAGATGATGATAGAGACATTTTTCTCCAGCTCTAATATTCTATGAATCCTGTAGCCTCCTCTACTTTTAAAGAAATTATATTATTAAAAGGCTTTGGAGAGCAAATAACTTAAGTAGACAGTACAGTAATTATGCAATTGTTTTCTCTTAATTTTATGTAGCAATTTCATTTTAAAAAAATAAGAAATTACAAAACAGTTTTTCTTTAAAAGTAAAAGATATAATGATTATTTTGGTTGAGAGAGATCATTGCATATAATGGCAAAAATAAAATATAAATGAGAATACCTATAATCAGTATCACAGATGCTCCCCTTTATTTACTATTAAAAAGAAACTTCTCTTTCAATCCCAATTTAAAAAATACTTTACTTCATATGACTTCTCACAACTTGACTGTTCTCAAAAGCCCAAGGATACATATGTAAGGAAATTGTCATAAAAGGCAGTTATTATTTCTTCTTTTCAGAAACAATTAACCTAGAAATCTTGTTACAAGAGATTTTCAGAAAAAAGTCAAATAACCACAATAATACCCCGACACACACACAAATACATACACACATTCAAAATAGCTAATGAAAAATAATATTTCTAAAAATCTTCTACATGAACTCAGTAGATAAATTATTTTCCATATATATATATATATATATATATGTGGAAAAAATATATATGGAAAAATAATTTAGGGCAAGAGAGTAGGCCCCAGTCCTCAGCAAAGTTCTTACATCTGAGGTAGCAAGCATAGAATGTGGTTGACTTTCCGCAAAGATGGCCACCAACAACTGCTCCCATTCCCGTCCAGTACATTTCCCTCTCCCCATGAATCTGGATTAACCATGTGTGACTTGATTAATTTGAACAGAATGGGAGAAAAGTGGCAGTTCTGGCCTTAAGAGGCCTAGCAGTGTCCACGTTTACCCTCCTCTTGGATCCTGAGTCACCTCATAAGAAGTCAATCATCCTACTAGCAAGAAAGACTACATGGAGAGGGAGCCCTGAGGATTTGAGGATAAGAGGACCACTTAAACCCCAGACTTTTTGTTAACACCAACTGAAGCCACATTGGATCTTCCAGCCCCACCAGAACCACCCCAGCCAAATCACAGAATGGAGGAGCTGCCCCACCAAGCCCTGCTCAAATAGCAGAATCACAAGCAAATAACTGAAATGCCGCATTCCTAAAATAACAAATACAAAAACTGAATCAGTAGATAACTAAATTAGCATATATTTCAATTGCTTGTTCAATTAAATATATTGAACCAATATATCCCAATTCTTGGGCTATTGGCTGGGAACACAGGATGGAACAGAATGCCTGCTTTCAAAGGTCTCATCATACCATGGTAGTGGCACTCACATAAACAAATCTCTGGCAGGGAGTGTGACAGGAGCTGCATCAGAGGCACACACGGTTCTGTGGGAGGGTGTGGACCCAACTTTCCCTCCTAAAAGTTGATCTGGGGCATGGTCCAGGGAAGAGGAGGTGACACTTCAGCCATATTTTAAAATCTGAGTAGGAGTTTTCCAAGCCAGGATGTGTGGCTGAGAAAGAGGAACATTCCAGAAAATCAGATTTCATCTGTACAAAAATGTCAGCCCCTTCTTACAGCCTCAACTACATGTTGAACATCACCTGCTAAGAGTTTTATCTTTTACCTAAGTCAGACAGATAGGAGAAAGAGGAATTTTTTGTAGTAAAAATGTTTGTTGTTTACCCATTTTGCCTCCAACTTCGTAACCTGTAAGTGGCTGAGAGAAAGGAATTCATGTGACAAGCATAGAAACTGCTAAAAACAAGAACATATGTGTTCGCTCTTTCTCTCTCTCATCTTGCTATAGACAAATGCTAAACAAAGAAGCTTGTTTTCTTTATGTTTGTTCAAAAGCAGTTCTCAAGGTTCTTAATGAGAGATCTAGAATCATTTTGCTGCTTTTTATGGAAGGAAAAAAGGAGAAATTTTTTATTGGCATTTGTGATGTTAAAGGTCAAACACATAAAACAATTTCTAAACATTTATTTATAGCTTATATTTAGTACAAGGTGAGCTGGCAGATGAGGAAAACTAGAACTGGGTAAGCTAGTTGATCTCATAGGTGGCTGGAATGTTTATAGACATTTGTTTCCACTTACGTATTAAATCTTAGTGGATTTGCAACTACAAAGTTCAAGTTTTTAAAGACATCTGCAATCTAGAAGCTACTAAAAAATGTAGGTATCAGAACCCAAACTTGGGTATGAGTATGTTTTTTCTCTTCTCTTCATGCCATACCATGCCTACTTCCTTTTTTCTTGGAGTTGAGACATGAGGATCATGTGAGGTTAGAAAATGCCTCAACCTGCCATATGCTACTTGGATTAGAGCCGTGGCTCTTGAAGGGAGCACACAGTTTGAGGTCTCACACTGAACACTTTATACACATCACCTCATATCAGACTCAAAAACTCTCTTGGTTAGGTATGAGTATCCCCATTGTACAGATAAAGAAACAAACAGTAGGAAAGATGATTCTAAATGTTTCCCAGAGATGCTGATCATCACATCTGCCTGATTCCATATTACATGCTTTTACACTCATGCCACAGTTTCTCCCTAAGGTCTTGTGAGATTCATTTTACTCCTAGAATACAGGTTAAATCACTGCACTCAAAAAAAAGAGAAATATTTTTAACAAAGTTAGAAACGTTGACATAAAAGAATGTGGAACATTTGACCTGTGCTTTAAGATAACTAGAGTATGTGATGAAAATAATCAAAAGCATACAATATAGAAGAGGTAAGGAATCAGGTAGAAATAGCATGACTTTGGGACCTTGTAGAACTGTGTTTGAATCCCAGTTTGGGCTCTTGCTATTTTGCGACCTTGAGCAATTTATTCAGGTTCTCTGAACTACAGTTTCCTGAGTTATAAAACAAAAATATTAATACTTGCTACATCCCCCAGGTTATGAAGAGTGCTAAATCGTGTAATTTGTGTAAAAGCACCTAGCACAGCAGTGCCTCATTTGCAGTAGTCAGAAATGGCAGCTTCTTTCCTTTGCTACAGAAACCTGGAAAAGAAAGAATAAAATCGTTAAATATCACCTGCAAGCAGAGACCTCTGGTTTGAAAGATAGGAAAGCAATGAAAACTCAGGAACTCTTTTCTGCAGCCATCAAAATATTTTCCAGCAATGGCTGAAGAAGGAGTTTGATCTCAGTTTTACTAAGACCATATTTGGAACATCACGTTGAAGGCAATAAGCGAGTGTGTTAATGGATAAGGGAGGGAGATGGGTGAGACTGGTTCAAGCGAGAAGACTGAGAGGAACACCGAGGTCTGGTCAAAACTCTGGGCAGAAAAAAGAAAAATGTGCAAGTTAAAACAGCACATTTCCCTCATCAGCCAGAGTGGGGATCAGCTGTGTCATTGATACCACCCAGCAGGGCCAAGCAGCTGCCCAGTTCCCAGACAAGCCATCAGTCAGTTGATTAGAAAACAAATATTCATTAGGTATCTGCTATGGGTCAGGCTGTGTGTGGGCACTGAGGAATCCTGATGAGCAAACCAGGTTAAATACACCTGTGATGATATGTATTTCTGTTCACTGAGTAAGTGGAGGTGAGTCATGAGAAGCTGGGTAACCTATGACATTGATCCCTGAAATATGACATTCTCCCTGCAATTTCTTGCACACAAGCTAGAATGAAGAAAATACTTTAAGAGATAACAGATTTTGAGCACTTATTGTGTGTCAGGCATTATAATCAGTGCTTTATATCTACTCTCCTATTTAATTCCCCCAAGCCTGTCAGGTAGATGCTATTATTTCCCATTTTATAGATGCTTAGAGATACGCAGTGACTTGCTAAAGCCTCAAGATATTATAGTCCTGGAACTAAGACTGATCTCAGAAATACACAACTCCAGAGCCTGAACTCATGGTGGAGGACCTAACACTGGCTTCAACACTCTGATCAGATTTTTCTATTTTAATTGCATCTGTTCCCCATAAAGAATTCCTTATCTTTTTACTCAGAAATCAAGAGTTAGCTATACTTCTTGCTTAACATGTTGGCCAGTGACCATATGGTATAGCAGAATCTGTGCTCTTTCTCTCAAGTTAATTTATGAAAGTCTTTTGGCAAGGTCAGCATGCCTTTTGAATGTACAAACTGCTCTTTTGCTACGCATTTGTAAATTATTCTAGTTATCTTTAGAATACTTAAAATTACTCTCTGGTGTTTATATAATCAGCAAGAGATAATCAGATGATCTCTCTTTTTTTTAACAATGAGCCACTTCCTGTTCATTATACTTATGTTTATTTATGGCATAAAACCCATTTTCTCTGTAGAAGGTCACCTGTGGTTTGATGTGGAGCATTTCTTTCCTCCTATTTAAACGACTTTACCAGTTTTTGGCATTTGTATGACTGTTGATTAATTATGGCCCTGTCTCAATCATTTTAGAGAAAAGAATAGCCTATGCTATGGTTCCTTTTACCCGCAAGTGGGTTATTCATAGCTGCAAAAATGCAAAATTTTTTAAATTCTTGCATATTCAGAGGCTTCTAACAGATAATCCATACCTATGCTATGTACACCCACCCATCTCAGAGGAAAGCCAAATGTTTAAAGACAGAAGCCACCTGACACAAGAGACCCAAACAGTTAATGGTCTTGAGTCACATATAAAATTTGCAGTTCCACTTCTTTGGGGACCAGAGCCTTCTGAAATACCGGTCCAAATGCCCCCAGGCTGCCTCCTAACCTTCATGTACTAAACTTGTTGACTATTCCACAGGAAAAGCAATTACTTCCTTTATTAAGCGAAACAAAGAGACCATGCCTTTCATTCTACTTGCACCTAATATAAGAAGTTGAAAAACTGCAGACACCTTCTATTCCAATGTGAAAGAGCTTATCGCCCACTGCATAAGATTTTGCTGAGGTGTGATGCCCTGTATCTGTTTCTTTCTCCGTAAGAAGAGCACCTTGAGTTAGTTTGTTTTTTTCAAGTATAAGATGCTTCCTAATTCAGCCAATGTGCTTCAAGAGGGAACTGATCTCTCTCTGCTTTGGTGATGGACCTTGAATGGCTTCAGCTAAACAAGACAGCCTATTCCCATGTTCATAGTGATTAAGTTAGATATGGAACTGGTACCCAATGCAGAGCAATAATAAGTAAGGAAATAATTAGATGGAGACCACTAAAAAGAAGATCCCTTGCTCTTCCATTGACATACTCTTTAAATGTGCATATATAGGGCCTCCAGAAGCATTGACAGCCATCCTACATTGAAAGAACCCAGCTATCCCTCAATATAATTTGCCTTAGAGTCACATAACCTTTGTTATTTTAGCAGTTCAAGTCGTGTTTCCTGTTATTTGCAACCAGAAGATTCCCAAGAATACGTCTATCACCTTGACCACGATTACACAGTAACCGTGCAATCATAGTATGTTATGGAACTTCTTTGTGCACTTTCTTCATTTAGTACCCCTCCTATAGCCATAACTTTTTGCTTACTCTTTCCTGAGTTCCATAAGCAAATATAATGAATTATACCCAGAAGTTTATTAGGGAAGTTTAGAATTTTCAGTATGCTAAAAACATCATCTTGTTTTTTTTTATTGTCTTCATGTAGTTGGTTTCAGGATGATTATATTCATATTTCAAGGCTCTCTATAAACCTGCCAGTATTAAGTAGAGATCTTGTCAGCTTCTAGGCAGAAGTAGAGAGAAAGAATGGCTTCCTGATTTTTGCTCTTCCTTTCTAGTTCTGCACCCCTTTTTGTCTATTCTCAGAAATATCAGCTTTGCATACACTTCTGCCAATGAGACTATCCTAATCTGAAATTATAGGGTCCTCTCTTTTTTATGTTTTCCTTATTTTCAGAGCCAGGACCTGGAGGGGACTGGTAAGGACCAGCCAGGGCATCTACTCCACACTTGCTTCCCAGATTGCTTTGAGGTAGCAACGCAACTTTTTTATTATCTAACTCTAGAAAATTTCACAGGCTTCGTTCTCAGGAATAATTTCTACATTGCCAACTACTTTATGTCCTTTTCTCCTATTAAAAAAAGTTCCTTCTCTCTCAGTTGAATGAACTTTCACTTTTTTCATTTTTTAATCACCCTTATCGGTGTCATTTTATCACCTTTCACGATGTGATCATTGGATGTGTCTATCCACTACCATGACTCTAAGCTTTTTCACCATGACTTTTCTCAGGGATTTCAAGTTTAAGTTAACTCCTGGTCCTGTTTCACACTGATGCTTTTGTAGAACTTTAGGACCTCAGACTGTTGAGAGAGATAATAAGGATTGTAGTTAGAGCACAGCAAAAACTGAGTTTTTGGTTTTTGTATTTTTATTGTGTGGTTTTTTTTGTTTTTTTTGAGATGGAGTCATTCCATCACCAGGCTGAAGTGCAGTGGTGCCATCTTGGCTCACTGCAACTCCTCCAGGTTCAAGCGATTCTCCTACCTCCCAAGTAGCTGGGATTATAGGCGCATGCCACCATGCTCAGCTAATTTTTGTATTTTTAGTAGAGACATTTTTAGTATTTTTGTATTTTTAGTAGAGACAGGGTTTCACCATACTGGCCAGGCTTATCTCGAACTCCTCATGATCCGCCCGCCTCGGCCTCCCAAAGTGCTGGAATTCCAGGCATGAGCCACCACACCCAGTCAAGATTGAGTTTGCTGCCGGGAAAATAAATACACACATGCTACCGTCTTCATATAACTCAACTAAGTGGCTTTGATGGCAGTGGCCTTCGCAATTTTTACATAGTTGACCTTTGACAGTTTACTTTTCCTCTTAAAAATAGGGTGGTGGGAGGGCAGAGATAATCAACAATCATGTTTGCTCTTATAACATTCTCAGGATCCTAGCCATATGTAATTTAACAAAGAATCATAGAAATGTCTTGCTGAACTACAGAGACATGGCATCTGAAGGTGGGGGTTGGGAGGGACAGCACAGAGAAACTGCCACTCAAGACAAATTTCGTACAAGACAGGTCAAATGACACACACTCCAGAAATACTTACTTAACAAAGAAAAGTTTTTGAGCATCAGCAGATGGCCCATGTCTTTTTTAGAGATATTCTCAAATACCATATATCACATTGTAGTAAGAAATGTAGTTGTCTTGATGGCAGGATACCTTCTAGGGAAAGAATTCTCTCCTGGTTGATGTACTTAATAGGAAACCAAATAAAAATAATTCCACTCACACTTCATAGCTTGGGAAGGCTTTTAATGATAACCAGTCTCTCCCAGAAATAGCTCAAGACCCACTGTCATGTTTCCAAATTACTCCTTACTTTTATTTTATGTCACTCATTTGTTCAATGTTTGTGCCCCCAGCGAGCACGTAAGCCCAGTGAATACGGTCATCACTACATTTCCTAGTCAGTCTGCCATGCCCAGTGCTGCATTCACAATGGCTAACCATAGTACCTGGCTCACAGAGGATGCCTAATCTTCATTTGAAAGAGGAACAGGTGAAAGGAAGGAAGAAAAGGAGGAATGAAGGGGAAGGATTGGTTTATGGCTTGGTGTATTAGCTATTTGTTGCTAAATACCCCCAAAACACACCACTTTAAACAGCACACATCTATATAGTTTCTATGAGTTACAAATCTAGATGTGGTTTAACTAGGTTTTCCAGCTCAAGAGAATGTCTCACAAAGTATCGGTCAGGGCCATGTCATCTCAAGATTCAGCTGGGGCAGGATACACTTCCAAGGTCACTCAGTAGTTGTTGGCAGCATCCAATTACTTGAAGCTTGTTTAACTATGAGCCTCAGTGACTTGTTGGCTGTTGACCAAAGGCTTCTCACCATCACATCCTGGCCACATGGACAACTCAGTGCAACTCACGACATGGCAGCTGGGTTCATCAGAGTGAGTGAGATACCCAGAGAGTACAAGATAGATGAAAGTCATAATTTTTCATAACCTAATCTCAGAAGTGATAATCCCATCACTCTTGCTATAGTCTATTTGTTAAAAGCCTGCTATTAGGTCCAGCCTATACTCAAGGGGAGGAGATTG